GCTTTATCCTGTGGCTCCGGGACTCATCACTACAGACGTTAGGGATGTGCTTTCCATAACAACGAAGCCAACTCGGGGAGGGGTTTTTGGGATTCCTCAGATCCCCTGCCGGGGTGGGTCTTTTAAAGCAAAACACCATTTTCTGCACTCTGCCAAAAAAGCATTGCGGTTTCTGCAATCCCATTACCCAAGAAAGTTGCTTTTTTCCCCTCTAATCTGTTCTCCCCTAATAACCCCCCAGGGGCTTGTTAGTGCTTAAGATACCCAGGCAGACGTCTGCTGCAGGGAGAGAATTCCCAAGTGCTCCAAAAAGCGCCACGTGGGTGAAGTTTCCACCGGTGAAGCTGCTCCAAAATGGCTCCTCCTTTGCAACAAGCAAAGGGAAAGCGAACTTGGCGATCTGCTTCCTCTGCCAGCAGGAGCTGCATTCACAAAGCACACTGACGGGTTCAACCAGAACACTCCACCCCCACCTTCCACATGGTGGGGCCTCCTAGATGCGTTGGGCTCCAACACCCAAAGTCCCAGCCGGCCAATGGCCCTGCTAGCTAAGGATTCTGGGAGTTGAAGTCCAGCACATATGGAAGACCCTAGGCTGGAGAAGGCTGCACTGAGCCCAAAGAAACATAAGTGTCTCTTAACCACGACAACTTCCAGCTGCATGGACTTCAACTCCCAGAATCCCCCAGTCAGCATGGATATTGTTGAGAATTCTGGCAGTTAAAATCCACACAGCTGGGCTAGAAAAGATTAGCATGATGGAAAACCCAGCCAGTATGTCATTTGCTTGGTTTGGAATTTGTAAACTACTCAAAACCAGTAACTATAGTTTACAGAATTGAGTTTATAGCATCGCATGCTGCTGGTAAATCCAACAGTATGGACTACCAGTCCAAATATAGGGTTGTCATAGGGAGGGGGGTTTGACACAGTGCTCTTTACCATGGCCAACTGAATCATGGTTTATCCACTTAGCCAACATACTGCACAAGAAACCAACCCCATGGCCCAAGTTCACACAACATACATTTATCTAGGTGGTGGTTCAGTGCATCATACAATCAGACCCATAACACTTTACTCCTTGCTTACTCATTATATTTTTTTACTTCTTGCAGACCTTCCTGTTTTCCCCTCTCGCCTACGGTCTGTGACCATTTACAAAATAAATAAAAACAGATCAGGCCCCTACAGAGAAGAGATTGTCCTCAGTCTCAAAAAAGGAGCTTCTCGGACAGACCGCCCACACTCCAGCTCATCTCCCAGTTAACACACCTCCGCACAAGAGTCTCCCTATCTTGCCAAGCAACAGGCGCACAGCTTTGCACCTCTCGCAAACATGACAAGCAGGAGGCTGCCTGGGGCCAGGCGCACTGAGAAAAGTTTTCTTCTCTACCTGAACTCCTAGAAAAGACATTTGACTAGCCCCTACCCAGCTGCTGGTGGTTAAAATTGACAACAGCAAGAAAACCGAGAGAAGTGCAGCCAACAGGTGTGAGGAGGAGGGAGAGCAAATGCTTGTTCACACCCATGTTCCCTTTTTTAGCACACACAAGCTGCAATCACAATAATTGCTTGTCAAGTAGACAGGGTTTCAGAGAAAGTGCCACCATCGCTATTAAGTGGCTGTGCAATTATTGTATTAAATCGTAATACAAAAAGGGAAGAAAGGCCATGAAACTTATTTTTTTCCTCTTATGCTTCTTAAGAGGTAGGAACATTCTTACAAAGTTCAGCGCAGCTGGAAACTGGCTTCTGCTTAGTCCAGATGTCATAAACCAGGGCTGGAGTTATACCTTACATTAAGCCATGGTCTGCATAAACCCCAAACAGCTGGGTTCCTGCACAAGGTGGCTAGAACCTGTAAGAACTGGGCAACAATCAAGCCACGTTAATAAATTGAATAAACCATAATTTACAAACCAGTAACTCTAACCCCAGCACATCAGAACCAATCCTGTAAACTAACAGAAGTCCTCCCCAGTTCATTTGTTAATGCCTTTATACTCCAATGTATATTTTACTCACATTTACTGAGCAGGCCCAGACACAATGGGCCCAATCTCCATTCAGGTGTTACCCCTGAACGAAGAGACAAATCCAATGTTTCTAAAGTCTTTCCAAAATAATTTGCAATTTATGTCATGTGCATAAGGATGTAATTGACAGGTTTATGTCCTTGGCAGCAAATGATGTCAATTGCACAGTTGTGCAAATAATGTAAGTTGTGTCAATTACATGCATGCATATTTAACATCCAGTAGTAATGTATGGCTGTGAGAGCTGGACCATAAAAAAGGCCGAGCGCCGAAGAATTGATGCCTTTGAACTGTGGTGCTGGAGAAGACTCTTAAGAGTTCCCTGGACTGCTAGGAGGTCAAACCAGTCAATCTTAAAGGAAATCAACCCTGATTGCTCATTGGAAGGATCGATAATGAAGCTCAAGCTCAGATATTTTGGCCACCTAATGCGAAGAGAGATCTCTTTGGAGAAGACCCTGATGCTGGGAAAGATTGAAGGCAAAAGGAGAAGAGGACGGCAGAGGATGAGATGGTTAGATAGCATCACTGAAGCAATGAGCATGAAACTGAGCAAACTCAGGGAGGCAGTGAAGGACAGGAAGGCCTGGCGCAATATGGTTCATGGGGTCACGAAGAGTCGGACACGACTTAACGACTAAACAACAACAAATATTTAACAGTCATTTGAGTTTAAGAGATCCCCCTACCCCCATGTGGTCCCTTTAACAGGCAATACTATTTCGTTTAGACACAGTCTTTCCCACCCCAGAGCTCAAAGCACAGTCCTGGGTTTCCCCTCACCTATTTTATACTCACAACAACCCTGTGAGGTAGGTTAGGCTTTGAGTAACTGGATCAAAATCACCCAGGGAGCTTCCACAGCCCAGCAAAGTCCTCATCTATCTTACTCCAATATTCTGATCACAGCACCAACCAACACGGCCTGCACATGGAAAAGATTGCCTGGAGGCAGAACTCTTATCGCCCATGGGGACTATGCATGCGGTGATTTTCAAGCATCCATTAACAGCAAGGAGCAAATCCAGGAAGTTTGAGGTGCCCCCTTTAATTGGGTTACACAATTACTTAGGAACAACCTAATGCCAGGTGAGAGCACGACTGGGATCACACATTTTCCTAAGCCATCATTTGTTTTAATTACAGTTTGTTGAAGAAGCTATTGCTGGCTGGGTCCATGCAACATATTAAACCATAAACCAAGGTTTATAAGCCACAATGGCAGCCTACGTAGTCCAAAGTAAATAAATCACAGTGTAGCTTAGTATTTTTAGGAATCAAGACTCAGCCTTGTCCTGGGAATGGAGTCTTCTCCACAGGGCTACAGTTCCTCCTCAGGGCCTCATCACCCAATTCTCCAATTATGGGAATAAGTGGCCTACTCTGCAAGATTGTTAGGAGAATGAACAGGAACAGCTCTTAGTCATCCTTTGGCATAATACACGCAACACTGATTTTTGCAGCTAAACTATGCCCAGAAATACAAGCCCTTTTGCAACGTGTCCGCTGAAGTCTCCAGCAGGTAAACCAAGATTTAAAGAAGGAGAGGGTGAAAATAGCTCGAGTATATATATATATTTTAAAAAGTGTCTTGCACGGTTGGCTGCAGCCTATCTGCCCATCAATTCTGCACAGGCTTTGAACAGAAAAGGCTTGAGGACCCTGCATTGAGTTGTCATAAGCTGCCTTCTGTCCTGAAGGATTTGCAATCCAAATAAAATTCCAGGTTGAAGAAACCAAAATGCCAGAAAGGCTACAGAAGACAAAGGAAGGCTGGAACAGATAGAAAGACAAGAGACCTGTCTCTGGAAGGAGACGGGCTGTCGCAATTCTAAGCTTTTTCCATAGATGGCAGTTTGGTTTTATCCGACGGGAAATAAATTTTAGGAAGGCGGACTCATCCCTGGCTTCGCATGGATCTGTGTTTAACGTGACCGGATGGTCCAGACCACATTTCCATCCATCACAAGCATTCCTCTTTCTGCTGTTTTCCACTTTCTAACAATGTCTCAGCGATGATATACAGTATCCCAGTGTTTCCCAACCTCGGCAACTTTCAGATGGGTGGACTTCAACTCCCAGAATTCCCTAGCCAGCCAT